ATCTCTGGCTGCCTGGACTCTGCCTGGCCTAAGACAAGACACCAAAAGGTCAACGTCAGGCCTCGGAAGGGACTGTCTATCTGGAATTAACAATCGCACATCCCTGGGCGGCCAGTACAGGCCGTGGGCCCCATCTCAGCCAGCGGTAGTCCCACAGGAAGCCCTGGGTGAGGCCTCCACCGCTGCAGATGCGTGGCAGCTCCTGCGCACCCCAGCCCCACACCCTCCCCGGTGGAGCGATCCATGACCCACGAAGCCTTTATTAGCTCTTTCAGCTCCATTTAACTACGCAAATGGCTTGGTCACAGCTGACTGGTCCCAAATTTGCCAGTGATTTTCTTTTAATTTACCGTGGCTCAGTCCCCCTGTAATACAGGTAGAGGAGGCATATTTGTCCCCAAACTTCCCTCCTGGGGTTAATCATGCACAGAACAAAACTCCATTTGAGCTACTTAATGATTTCATTTCCACCCCAGGTTTGAAGGCACTGGGGCTAAAATACCAATGCAGGCCCCTTTCTCCCTACTCTAGATGCCTGCGTGGGGGAGAGGAGGGAGCCTGCCACACTGCACCTATGCCCAGCCAGGCAGAACTGTCCTCTCTGGAACAGCCGGCCGCTCGCTTCCTGGTGCACCCTGTCCCCTGGAAGTCGTGCCTGTCTCCTGGGGTTGTTTTCACACACACCCTCAGGACTGTGCAGTCACTTCCCAGCCCATTCTGACATCTCCTTGCCCAGCCCACTCCCAGCTGCAGACGACGCCCGTGCCTTCCCCACAGGACACTTCCGGTGCCTTGCAAGCCAGCAAGCACGTGCAGAAGGTCGCTTCAAGTCACCTTCTTTGGCAACCTGTGGATTCTTTTCCTCTCTGGCAGAGAAAAGCAGTCCCGCCTATATCTTGTGCACTGGGCTTCTGCACACACACACGCTTTCTAGTGACTGGTCCCTGTGTGATTTCATGAATGCGGGTGTGGACTGTGCATGTAACTAAACTGAGATGCTCACGGTATCTGTGTCCCAAATGGTGCTAAAATTCGTCCCAGGCCCTGGCTGGTCCTAAGGAGCACCAGGTCACCTCCGAGAAGTGGTTTGCGTGGGCTTGGCGCCCTCTGGCGGTACAGCGCGGAACGAGGCAGCCTCCAGCGAAGGAGTACACTGAGAACGTCCCCCAGGCCATGAGGGCCCCTCCCGCCGGCCGGCAGCAGCCCTCTGCACCCGGAGCACCCTGGCCAGCCCCTCATTTCACGACCCCGCTGGCCCAGCGTCCACCTAAACTGAGGAGGCTGAAGACAGGAGGATTACTACGAGTCCAAGCTGCGAAGTGAGACCCTGTACCAAATACATTAAAAAAAGAAAGAAAGCAAACACAACCCTTATCTTACAGCTGTAGAACCAGAAGTTCAGAGAAGTTAAGTGTACGTCCAGACTGGGCTCGGTGGCTTGCTCAGCAAGCCTGGAGGCTGGTCAGCACGGCACGCCACATCCCAGCGTGAGGCCCAAACTGAGCTGACCCAATAGCCAAGCCAGGCCAGCTGCCTTAGCTGAGGCTGAATGTCACCCGACAGCCTACCAGGGACGCTGGCCCTTCCTGCAGTGCAGGTCACAGCCAGGCTCAACCGCCCCCCCCCGGCTCTGCACATATGTCCCCTTCTCTACGCGCTACCCTGTGAGAGCCAGCACAGAGGGGGGGAATGTGGAAGGCCCACTGTGGGGGCTAAGTGTGGCCCTACTCCGACCTTCTCCGAGACCACCCCAGGGCAGTGGTTGGGAACCCCCTGCGGCCATCTAAACGTATGTCCTGGCTAAGCTGGAATGTAATGCCTGTGTTTCAAAGGGAAAACATTTAACTTCTCTGAACTTCTGGTTCTACAGCTGTAAAATAAAGGCTGTGTTAGCTTTCTTTCTTTTTTTAATGTATTTGGTACAGGGTCTCACTTCACAGTTCGAACTCATGTTAACCCTCCTGTTTTCAGCCTCCCCAGCATTGGTATTATAAGCATGAGCCACTACATCCACCAGGACGTGTGTTAGTTTTCTCTCCTTGTATGAAATGCCTGAGAAAAGAAAGAATGCTAGTTTGGCTCCTCGCTTCAGAGGTATCAGTCTCAGCACTCAGGAGGCTGAGGCAGGAGAATCGCACTGAGTTCAAGGCTGGCCTGGGTCATAAGCCAGCCTGGGCTGCATCCCTGTCTCAAAAAGATTTATTTATTTTTTTACTCCTCAGAAACCATGCACACAAGCCCAGAGGGGAGTGATAGAAAACATCACCAACCTGGAATTCCATATTCTTCCAACTGAGTGGAAATAGAAATGTTCAACAAAGTGCAGAGAAGCTGTCACTAGTATATGTGTACCCCGAAGAGGAGGGAAATTTCATGGCCCCAAACTCTGACCTACAAAAAGAAAGGCGCTAGAGAAGGAACAAGTGGAGGGAAGATAAATTCCTGAAGCAACTCAGCAAACTTTCCCAGGAAGTCCTGTCCCACCCACACCAGCACCCAGCCAGGGGGACCAGGGCACCCACTCTGCCTTCACCGCACGCTGCAATGGCCCCTCCCACCCAACTGCCAGCCCTGTGTCCCCAGAGCCAGAGCATTATAGGAAAGGAGGAAAGGAGGCAAGGAGGCAGGGAGAGAAAGAGGAAGGGAGGGAAGGAAGGAGGGAGGGAAGGGGGAGAGAGAGAGAGAGAGAGAGAGAGAGAGAGAGAGAGAGAGAGAGAGA